CAGGAGAAGGACATAGGATACTTTTTATCCCGTTCGACATCATTCCCGTGTGACTTGACATTTAACGTCAGTCACTATAAAACGTGGTATAACAAAAAAGAATCAGACTTGGAATAACAAAATTGACGTATAATGACAGCTATGTAATGACGTATGGATGACAATTTGATATTTGTAAGAAATCAATATATATAAAAGAAAGTCGTGTTAGTTACACCATTTATAATTCAAGAACGGCTGAACTGATTAGGATGAAAATTGGTGGGGAGGTAGCTTAGAACCAGAAGAAGGACATAGGATACTTTTTATCACGTTCCCGTAGGACGTGACATAAAACGTGGTATAACAAAATGCAACTGATATGGAATAACAAAACGCAACTGACAGCTAAACGTAGTGTGGTCTATGGTTAATTATAATAGAATTTTGAAGTTGACCGGTTGATGTGTTTGTTTCGAGTTTCTATTAGCTAATTGTGCCGAGATGATTAGGTAATCATTAAGAAATTCATGCCCCGACCAATACGATCAAATCTTTCCCGACGAAGCCGTAATGCAACTAGGATTCGAGACATTGCGAGTGAAGGTCCCTTCACTGGGACTGAAGATAATAATAATAATAATAACAACAAAAATACATGGCCAACAAAGAATCATTAAAATGCTTGCTTTTTTAATTTACATTAATTATCCAAATAAAAAATTGACCTTGGTAAAATCAAAAGTCTACTTATTTATTGCCTCTAAGGCGGTACAAAGTTCGCCGGGGCAACTAGTTCATTAATAAGATCTATATTTTTTTCTGTACTCCATCGTTGGTTTGCCATTTTCAACGCTTGAAGCGCGTCCGAACTAACAATACACACGTCCGCACAGCGCAGGCCCTTTCGCGACATTAGTTTCACGTCGCGTCTACACTATGAAATTAGTTGCATGACACTAATTTCACCAAAAAATCGCGCAGGGCACGAAACTAATTTGCATGCATGAAATTAATGCATGCATTACGAAAGTATTAAATTACACGTGAAACTGTTGGTAAAACTAATGTCACGAAATTAATTTCACGCCACTAATTTCGTAATGTAAATTCGCCTTTAGATCACGACGACTTCAACATTTTGTTTTAAAGAAAAAAAAAAAGTGTTATTAAAGTGAAACTTTTATTATAATAACCGGCAAACTTCTTGAGCATTTGTTGACGTAGTGGGGGTAAGTTTGCGCATGGTACACTCAAGTGCAAAAACATTACTTACTCTGCGTCATAATGCTATTAAATTATTAAAATCAACATATGTATTTATTTATATATTTATTAGAACATCAACAAAACATATAGGTTAATAATTGTAATAATTTAATCTTGGGGTAAAATAGATATTCCTTCTATTAAGTCAAAACTAGAGCTGTTGCCAGGTCTTGGTTCAGTTAAAGCGAAGCTGGTATTTGTAATTTTTTTTTCGTTATCATAATCTTGACCATCATCATCATCACTGTTTTCATCACCCGAGTCGCTATCATCGTGATGAGTCGACATAGGGCTCATCGGCGTAGTTTACAACTCGGTCGATTCGGTCTTCTTTTTTGTCTATAATTAATTATTTTTTGAAGATATTCGATTCGTAGTAATCGAATGTTACTTTTTTCATTTACCAGCTTCCGATTATTTTCTGTTCTTTTTTTCCATCTGAAGCCTAGCTCTTTCATAATTCGTCGTAAGCTTCATTCCGAGCCATTAAAATTTATATCTTCTTTAAATTTTTCGAAGCCTTTCTACGGTACGGAGTTTCGCTGCTTGTTATGTAGTTATTATGATTACATCTTTTTATTACAGATTGAACGAAACTATCCATTCCGGTAACTTTCTTCTTCCCTGATCTTTTCTTACCCGGAGTCCGAAACACGGCGAGCAAGCCAGAGCCTTTAGCTTCGTTAATAATGCACCTAACAGTACTCACTGATGTTTTTGTTGCTTCCGAAGTCTGTTTTAATTTTTCCATATCATTCTTCCCCTGTTTTATAATGAAGCAATATACGTCGTACACAAATTTTCTACCCTTTCTTTTAAGTACTACACCAGTTTGTCACGGCATAGTGTATTTTTTATAAAAAATCAACAAACACTCAACAAATAGCAATGGCAACAAAGTCCACAAGCAATTATAACAAATAACTTAACGATTAATAACGATAGACTTTCCACTGTACGCAAGCGTACTTTTGGGAGCAAGCGGAATGAGGGCGCGGTGCGGGACGCAAGGTTCGACTGATCTACCAATAACGCGCTCGATACGATTTCCCCTGCCGTCGCGCCTCACCCTCACCACCAAAGTGATCTAAAATTCGGTTCTGCGCAGTCAAGGTCATTTGCTCAAGAAGTTTGCCGATTACTATACATCGTCTCAAACTTTTTCATCTGTGTGTTGCATGTCGCGTGACGGTCAGCCGCGGAGTAGGGATGAAGTGAAAGGCTCGTCAGAGCAGCCAAGGCCAATATGGCGGTGCCTATAGTTCGCAGCAGCTGACCGTGTAGTGTATAAACTATTACTGATTTGTGTCAATGCTCCACGCTATTTTGTGTTTTTTTGTGTTTAATGTAAATGTTGTTTGTCAGAGTTTAATGTCTATAATGTGAAAAAAAAGTTACACTTTTACCGCGGTTTCACAAAACCACACAATCCTTTTTTTATTATTATTATAATTATTCTATTTTCCCATATAGTTAACGAGAGCAAAATGCAAACCTATTAACGTTAATAATGAAATTCATGATTAAGTAATCGAACTAAATGGTTTAGTAAAAATAACGGAAACGTTTTGACGGACCGATTCGAGAATCGTTCTACCCGCGCACAGTCCAGCGACCAAACAACTTCACGAGAACTCTTAGCTGTACCTGTTCACTAATGCAGGGTCAGCAAGCCTTTAACGGTAAAGCTATGGCCACGGCAGAATACATCAACGATACCGAAGGTCTATGGCTTCAGAGGTACCGTGCGAGATCAAATGTAATGTTTTTTTTTATTGCTTAGATGGGTGGACGAGCTCACAGCCCACCTGGTGGTAAATGCGCCACCCACCTTGAGATATAAGTTCTAAGGTCTCCGTATAGTTACAACGGCTACCCAACCCTTCAAACTAAAACGCATCTTTCAGATATACAGCCGCACCCTGACCGCCATACTCGTGTATCTACAACCGTAACAACCGTCAAATAATCGAAGAGCCCTATTAATTTACCTCGTCCATGATGTCGAAAGCGTCGACGAGTCCAACTGCGTCCGGTCTCAGCGCATTCAATGTGTCTTCGTACCTCTCTTGAAGTTGTTCTGTGTCGGTCCTCGATATCGAAGTGTACTGAAACATTGGTCTCATCTTAATCGATGGTCGTATTTTAACTTTAAAAAAAAAACGGTTGTCTGTAAAGTCGGTTTACTGACGATAGTTAAACGTGACAACGTCATAAGAAAATACTGATGGAATGGTTTCATTTTTCAAAAAAAAATTAATTTTAATTTTTTGATAGATATTTTGTATGGACAATTAATTGACACCACATTCACTTTTCACTGAACTTCATACTTGACTTCGATCAACAATAGTAACAATAGTTACTATTGTTGATCGAAGATACTTGACGAAAATATGAGAATGTATTATTGTATAGCAGCTGTCCACGCGGATGCATCGCTCACGTCGCCTCAGAGCGAGGTAACGCCGCATGAGTCATGTTTTTTCGTGCGTGCAGCCGGCTCCATCGAATTATAAGACGTTGTCACATCAAAAAATATTAACGATTTGAAATAAAACTAAAAGCTTGTTTAAAACCTGTTTAAAAACTACATAAATTTTATTAAAAACCAGCTATGAACGCGTACAAAACTTAGGTCGACGGCCGCAGTCAATNATACTTAGCTTTCCATTTTTATTTTAGCTTTCCTAGCAATCACGTGTGCAGAATGGATCTCGATTGTCGCCAGAGAAACAAGAGATGACTTTTATAAGCCAGCTAAGATCTCCGCTTATTGACACTGGACATCTTTGCCTTCCGTGCTCACGGCTACTGAAACGTGGCCGAAACATTGTAATAAAAATACCGCGCTTGATACCGTTTAAACGTTGTTTTATTATGTGCACTGGTCGCGAAAACTTAAAAACATACTATAAAAATATATATTACACAAAAACGTAACGCTAATAAAATAATAAGTAATGTATGGATACTAACAAACATACATTTCCAAAACATAAAAATTAAACAACTAAGCTTTTACTTTAATTCATTATTAATTATTTTAGTGTTCAACGCGACTCCCTTACCTCTTGTAGTAAACAGATATCGGCTTTTCAAGAAGCAAAAATAAATAAAAAAAAACGTTGTTAGTTCTCAGAGCGATTAAGGGAAAAGTTGCTTTATTTCTTACATTTTAAGATTGATTTAACATTAAAAGTTCTTTAACATATGTCTTTTTATTGGTAAATGACAGGAGTAATTTATTGCTTTGCTAATTTTATGTGACGAATGATCGTAAGTATTAGATAATGTTTTGGAGATTTGTGACTTTATTAGTAGGTGCCATAATTGTAATTAGTTTGAACGTAAAAGTGTTTCAAAACTTTTTTCTCCGTTTGTTAGTAAACGAATGTAGCTATTTATGTGTATATTCATGCGGACAGCTTTTGCTTTAATTTCGTACGTGTCCCTTTATCTAGTTACTATTGTTGATCGAAGTATTGCGGCAAATGTACACATTTTCCGGTAAATGTGCACATTTGCCTCCTCGTTTGGGTAATGTACATTGAATTCACAATGACCATGTCGTTTTGGTAAAGGTGAGCATGGCATACAAAATACGAAATCGCAAGTACTAGTAATGTGTTAGAATATGATATGTTTAGATAGCGCTAACAAAATTGAAATAATTAAACTAACATGTCTTCTAATGTAACGTAAACGTAATTAGGAAAGTAAATAAAAAAACGGTTAGGCCTCTCTTGAGATCTGTTATATTAACTTTTTATTCAAAACAACCAACCAAGAGTACAAAAACATTTGTACGTAAACCATAGACAATATACCCTGATTTATAAAATAAATATCCATAACAATAAATTCACTAAAGATCACAATTTAACAAACAATTAATAACGTAGGTACGCTTTTCTTACACAATATCATCTCTTCAATTAATTATTATTTAATGGCATAAAAAAATCGTTTATTGTCATTTAAGTACTTTTAATTTGCATTTGAATATTATGTGTGTACTTAAATCGGAACTCAAAGTTTCCCCTGCATGAGAGGTTTGAGGTACTGGTGGAAGGATCTGTTAACGGGCTCCGCGTTGAGAGGACTCTTCAGCGCCTCCTCCATCAGGCGCTCGTACACGCGCCCGTCGTACGCGCCCAGAGTCGATTGTAATATCTATTAATAATAGTCGATACAACTGCAGTATAACGTATAAACGTCAGCTGAATTAACTCCTCTTAATAATAAGCTCGCTACAAAACAGGTTTAGTACTTTTTTTTATTGCCTATTTTGGTGGACGAGCTCATAGCCCACCTGGTGTTAAGTGGTTACTGGAGCCCATAGACATCTACAAAGTAAATGCGTCACCCACCTTGAGATATAAGTTCTAAGGTCTCGGTATAGTTACAACGGCTACCCAACCCATCAAACCGAAACGCATCTTTCAGATCTGCAGCCGCACCCTGACTACCATAATCATGTATCCACAACCTTCACAACCGTCAAATAATGGAAGAACCATATTAATTTACCTCGTCCATGATGTCGAAAGCGTCGACGAGTCCGACCGCGTCCGGCCTGAGCGCATTCAATGTGTCTTCATACCTCTCTTGAAGTTGTTCTGTGTTGGTCTTCGATATCGAAGTGTACTGAAACATTGGTCTCATCTTAATCGACGATCGTATTTTAACTTTTAAAAAAAATCGGTTGTCTGTAAGGTCGGTTTACTGACGATAGTAACTAGTCAGGTCATAAGTATTGTCACACAGTAAAAACTTTTCTTTTAGAATGCTGGCCACAAAAAAGTTTATTGAATTCGAATTTCGAATTGTTCATGAAAATAAAAATGTATACTTTTAGAATTTTACTCATTTTTAAATATGGAGTGGACGCTTAAAGAAGACGCCGTTGCAGTTATTGCGTTGCATCGTTGCGGTTAGCGCCAATTCAAATTTTTAACATACTGAAAAATTTGAATATAACTAAAAGATTCGTTTATCGTACCATCAAACGATACAATGAAGACTTTAGTGTAGATGACAGGTCAAGAAGTGGTCGCCCTCGGTCTGTTAGGACTCCAGCAGTGATAAAAGCTGTGAAGGCGCGAATTCAAAGAAATCCCAAACGTAAGCAGAAACTGTTGGCCCTTCAGATGGGGTTAAGCAGAACCACGGTGAAAAGGGTGTTAAATGAAGACTTAGGGCTTCGGGCATATCGAAGAAAAACAGGACATCGTTTGAATGCTCGTCTAATGGACCTGAGACTGAAGAGATGCCG